TTAGCAACTACATATCCAAATTCAATAAATTTTTTTTATTTGCATTCTACAGATCTGTAGAATTTGAATAAAAAAAATTTTATTGAATTTGATTAAGTGGTTGCTAAGATATAGGTAATATAGTAGTGGCAGAAAAAATTCGTGACCATGTGATTACTGACCATTTCCGGCCTACATAAGATCAAGAGACCGAAAAGTAAGACAAGATAATCAATAATCAATTTGTGTTTATAAATTTTTTGGAACATGATCGTAAATTCTTTTGAACTAAATTCATTAGAATAACAAGATTATATAAACTTGGGATTTTACTTAATGAGAAGTCTGAAAATAAGAAGGTTAACAAAGATAAGTTTTATCTTTATTGTATCGAATTATGATAAGTGTATAAATTTATATTAAAAACTCAAATTTCTAACATATTTAGTAGGTAACGTATCTCTAAAATACAAATGTTTTTATTATATTATTCTTTCTTTTAGCTCTAATAATAATACAATAAAACTATATTTATTATTATTAGTCTATTGCAACCAAAAAGCCAATTTTTCTTTTTTTAACGGTTTAAAAGTTTGTTGCTGTGTTCTGGCTCTTAGGACTTCGTTGCATGTGGTAATCTCATCGATAAGAGGCTGCCTAAGGGTTTTATATGTTTCGTAAAGTCTATCATTTTCAATATTATTATTCATAATATTTACTAATGTCTCAAATGCTTTCATATCTGAAATTAGTTCCATTTTTCTGTTTTCGACCATTACATGGTATTCAAAAACTATTATACTTGGACTATGACTACTCGTTACATCTGATTCAAGCTGTGGTTCTGTAGTATCACTATATTGAGTGTTATCCCACAGATTATTAATCAAGTTTATCCTTTGAAGGCTTATTCCAAAAGAGATAAGTGGATAATCATGGCGGAGCGTTGTCTTAAGAAATTGTGAAAAAAACAATAGATGTTGAGTGAAGTATTTTTTTACCAAATGCTTGCATATAAAATAAGGACTACACAAGAAAGCAGAATAAGAACAAATCCAAGCATTTGTATCAGTATGATAATGTTCTGACATGCTTAGAAAAAAAAATAAAATAAAAATAATTAGTAAAAATACTAAAAAATAAGAACTATGAAGAAAATTTTACTAAAAGAAACCTTATATCTTTTTCAATAGCAGCCTTCCAATTACGCTTGAATGCATTCCAATATGATGGAAAATCACGATTATAGCGAAACTTTTTCCAAGTATTTTTTATATCTGGTATGAGTTCATCGACAAGAATTTCTGTTAATCAATCTAGACATGGCCGGTTAGAGTGATATTTGTAATTATATTTTAGAATGCGCCAATGAGACTCAGTTATCATAGTAGTTCATGCAATAGGCATTGCTTGTGAATAAACTGCTTGTGCAAATAAGTGCCAATTTGCTGTGTTATACCAGTTTATCCACAAGTATCCCCACAAGTAACAAAGGTTTCTTTGACGGCAGAACTGGTAGGCTTCTAAAATGCTTTGATGTCGAATTTCATCTGCTGTAAAAAAAAGATCCTTATTTACAGGTATAAGTGGATTTAACAATGCATGTTTTTTAATCATTCCCATTAACTCTTTCTTATACTTTTCAGGACACACATTATTTAGTTGTTCTTCAGGAAACCAAGTTGGGTTAATAAAGAAAAATTGACTATGTGCTTCATATGCCTTTTGTGCTGAATATTGACTTCCCTGCGCTTTTTTTTCTTTTAGTTTACGCTCAATTGCTCGTTTCATATGCCAAAGGCATAGGTGTACTATTGCATAAGGCCAAGCTTCTTGAACAGCATTTATCTCTCCAAGATCTTTATCCAGAAGAACGAAGGCTGGTCAAATGCCTTTGTTATGCAAACTAATAAAAAATTCTTTAAGTAAACTGACTCGGTTATATACTTCATTGCTGGGATTTGGAAGCAGGTTTTCTGATGCCAAAATTGTATTTACATATAAATACGCAAGAGGAAGGCTGTATCCACCACAATTAATATTTATCTAAATTATATTATTATATAAGTTATTAATTAGTATAACAATTACTGTTCTTATAAGTTAAAATTTAAATATCATACCGCGAAGAGTTTAAAACATTCCTAATTCGTTTTAAATGTTGAATCGATAATAATCTCACTAATATTTTCTTGTAGATCTTGTAGATTTTGAAAAAAATGGTGTAATGAATCCAAGCGAGCACACAAAGTCATTTTCTCTATATTGAACTACTTTATACCTCTTATTCACTAATGCCCATCGTTCTAGGAAATTTTTCGCAGATTTTACTTGATTGGCTATATCAGTGATATACTGCATTCTTAAAAGTTTATTTGTCCAATAATATACTTGCTGGTATGTATGTAGGACAGATTGATTAAGTTTTCATTGCAAAGACGTTTATAAACTTCTATTTTTCGCAAATTTCTGACTGTATTTTGTTTTATCCATGTTATTGCACCTATATCCAAAAAAAAAAAAATTAAAAAATTAAAAAATTTTTTTTTTTTTTTAATAAAAAAAAAAAACTAGATAATTATAT